TGGTCTTTTTTATTTTTCTGATTTTTTTTGAAACAGAGTCCCCCTGTAATCCCAGCTGGCCTACAACTCCCTGTGTAGACCAGGCTGGCCTTGAACTCATGGAGCTCTACCTACCTTTGCCTCCCAAGTGCTGGGATTAAAAGCGTGCACCACCACACCCAGCAGAAAGTTCTTTAATATGCTATTTAGAATGTGGAAACAGAATATATCTTAATTTTTTTTATTTATTCATACTTACTTGAAGTTCTCCTAGTGTACTTTTTCTCCTCATTCCTGTACCTCCTTCTCTTTTCCTTGCCCTCACCCTTTCCCTTCTTTTCCCTGCCTTTCTCCCCTCCCTAGCCCTCTCCTCCCCCTTCCCCTCCTGTCCCTGTCCACCCCTGTCCTTTCCTCCCTTCTTCCCCTTCCCCTCCCTTTTTTCTCTTCCCATCCCCTTTCCTCTTCCTTTCTTCTCCACTTTCCCTTTTCTTTTCCCCTTCTCCTTCCCTGTCTGTCCCTCTTCCTGTTCCTTTCTTTCCTTTCCATCTGTGCTTCCGTTTCACAGTGCTAGGGATCAAACCATGCACATGCTAAACATGGTCCCTACAGCTGAGCTACAGCCTCAAACACAGTAATTGTTTTGCTCTGTTTTATTTGTTTTACCATTGTTGTTTTGGTTTTTGTCAAATCGACAGTCCTCCATCCTCTGCCTCCTAAGATCTGAGATTACAAATGTGAACCACTATTCCTAACAATAATTGCTTCAAAAGTGCAGTAGTGGTTTTTTAAGCATAATCTTAATCTAAAATTAATGTAAATTCCCCTAACATAGATATGCTCAGTCTTGTAGAGACTTTTGTCTCATAATGAAGTCCATTTTCTTTGTTCTAAAGTAATCTTTCTGACATAGTAATATTTAATTATAACATGCCACACTTTCTATATTATTCATCAAAAAAATAAGATTTTTTAAATGTAGAGATAACAGGATGTGCAAAGGTTTTGAGGTAGAAAATAATTTGTGTTTGAATAACTGAAGTTATGGTGGGAGGAATTTTGTAAGAGAGGTCAGAGGGATTGATTACACAGGCCTTCCTTCTAAGAAATGCTGTTGAGGATTCTTTTATGCAGGTAAATAGATATAAGGAGAAGAAAATGCAGATTGATAAATACTTATTTGGATGGTATTGGAGTGGCATCTGCTAATAACTGACAGCAGAGATAGATATTGATGATTTAAGTAATTGCAATAGAGTTTGATTGGCTTGGACTAATTGCTGCAATAAAGAGGTTACAGTAAAGTAAAAGAAAGGAAGTGTGGCATGGTTTCTCACCCAGCTCTTTGCACTGTTTGTCTATGCTCTTGCCTGTCAACCTAGCACCAAAGGTCCTGGTTAGTTTTCTCATCTAGCACTTTCTTTCTGTGGCCTGTTGTGTTGGCCACACTGAAAAGGTTTTGGTTTGGGGGGGGGGGGTGGCTGTTGGTGTTGAGGCAGGGTCTGATTGTAGCCCAGGATGACTGGGTCATGTATCCGAGGATGACCTTAAACTTGAACCTCCTGCCTCCATTTTCCAAGTGCTTGGATTACAGGTGTGTACCACAGTGACTGGCCATATTGAAAGTTGTTTCCAGGGCTTTCTCCCGCTTCTGAGCCCACGTTTGTTTTCCTTCCCAGTTCATTGTACCTTCTTGTTTGATAAAGTCCTTGTCTAAACTCATTGCACTCATTTTTCTGTAGATTATAAGTCAGATGTTCTTGCATTTGGATTTGCAGAAGTCCTGTGTAAATCTTGATAGTGTTACCGTTTACTCAAAAGCGGACTGTCAGCTTGTTCAGTACTAGAACTTTTATTCAAGCTTTGTTGTCATTAGCACAAGTTTTGTCATAATTCATGTAGTGCACCTTCAGCGATATTTATTGAAATATGGAAGGGGATCAGTCAGGAGGCTTTAAGAAAAGCCACCATAGATAAAGGGTAGACCTGGATGAAGTGGAGAACCAAGTGGAAGAAAGTTTCTCATCAGGCAGTTCTAAGTCTTACTTTATTGAGGAAACTGTGTTATCAGAGCAGAAATGTTGAACATCACTTTAAAATATGCTCCTTGAACTATCAGTTAAGATTGGAGAAAGGTTTTGAGATCATTGCATATTTACTGTCAGAAAAGGACTGCTTTGTCGTGGAATGTGATTTCAGGGATTAGAATCCATGCCTAGCCTAGCATTTGCTAGCGTGTTAAGTATTCAGAGGTTTCTCTCCAGAGACCTTGCTGAAGGGTGTTGTATTCCTTAAATATTATCCTTCTTTGAAGATACATTAGTCTATTCTATTTTTCCTATTTTCCTACCCTTAATTTAGCTTTTTAAAGCCACATATATATTTCTGAGTTAAATTTATAAAGTACTCTAATTTTATTTTTTTCCTGGACATTTAGAGCTTTCTAAGCCTTGCCTCTTCAGTCCACTTTACCAGTTTTATATGAAATTGTTGATTAGATTATTTCAGTGTAAGGGTTTTAGAAATTCTATTCTATAACGATTCAGACTTCTAAACTTGGTTGTGAAATAGTAAATTTAAATACTGAGAGTATCATACCTTAGGAATGCATGTTGACTGTCATAACTTCATAAATAATAGAATAGTATGCTTGGAAAATTTAACAATTTAAGACTTCTGTTATGCTCCCAGCATACTTACACTACTTTCTGAGATCATTTCTTTTTGAACCATGAAGTTGGTAGAGAAGATTTTGTATAAGCTAACCTATGTACTTTTAAAATAACTTCTGGGGCTGGAGAGATGGCTCAGCTGTTAAGAGCACTGACTGCTCTTGCAGAGGACCCAGGTTTGATTACCAGCACCTACATAGCGGCTACGAACTGCCCTTAACTCCAGTTCCAGGGGAATCCGAAGCCCTCTTCTGACCTCCCCGGCATTGCACTGCACGACACGGGTGCACTCACATACATGTAGGCAATACACTCACACACATAAAAAATTAAAACATAAATAAAATATTTTAAAAAATTACATAACTTCTTGAGCCAGGCCTGGTGGCACAGGCCTATTGTCCCAGCACTCAGGAGGCAGAGGCAGGCGAATCTCTGTGAGTTCAAGTCCAGCCTGGTCTCCATAGTGAGTTCCAGGCCAGCTGGGGCTGCAGGGAGACCCTGTCTCAAAAAGACCAATATATATATATAAAATTATGGAATCGAGAAAATGATAAAAATGTCAGGATTAAATGTTTTCCATCTGTATTCAAAATAGGTGTAAGAAATACTACTTTTGGTATATAACATTCTTTGGTGAAATCTCAGTTTGTGCTTTTTGTTCTATTTTTGTTTTTGCTGTTTCGTAGTCTTTTAAAATCATTTTTTAAAATTTATTTTTATTTCATGTGCATGAGTGTTCTGCCATCATGTGTGTAAGTGCACCACTGTGCCTGCAATGCCCAGGTTAGATCTCTTGAAACTGGAGTTATGGACGGTTGTTAGCTGCCATGTGGGTGCTGGGAACTGGACCCAGGTCCTCTGCAAGAGCAGCAAGTGCTCTTAACCACTGAGCATTTCTCCAGCCCTGCTTCTTGTTCTTATAATCTGGTATGAGAATCAAAAAGTGGTAATCAATGTACAGCATAGATGTAGCAATTAAAGACTGTAACAAATTTTATTTCTGATGTTTCTGATGTATGAGGAAGTAAGATTGAATTTGGATTTTTTAAAAATTCTTATTTTACAAAATTATTTCATATATATGATATAGCCAGTAATTTTGATATAATATTGACCTGTCCTCTTTCCCATTAATAGAATGTGGTTTCTACGTTCCCGTTATTCTCTTAAAGGAGGAAAATGTGAATATAATCCTTAGCAGCACATTTACCCACTTCCTCATATCTGCTCTTCTTTGCAGTGTATCCTTTATTTAGCCATTTCTCACCACATCTACTGTCTTTGTAGTCTAAGTTAACCACCCTCAATTGCCACCCTCCTAACTCATTTTCCTGCTTCTCTTCTTTTTCTCTCTATTCTCATAGAATAATTCAGAATCATTTATAAACATACGGCAAATTATGCTACTCTGAACTTACCCAATATTAGTACCTCTTAATTCTCTATCTCACTTGTAATAAAGTCCAAAGACCTACAGGCCTACAAGGTTCTACATGATATAGAGCCCTTACCATAAATTTCCACATTCACCACTTGAATGTAAGCTGTGTGAAGAATTTGTCACTCTAAATTGAATGATTTTCCTATACATATTCTCCTTAACTTCCTGTACTACTTCTCCTTATTTCTAGTTTTACTATCCCTACCTATTCTGAAATTAGGGATGGGACTGAGAGGAATTGAAGTGCAGAGAGGAGGGTGAGATGATGTAAACACAGTACTCATATGACATCTTCCTTCTGTGACCCCTCAATATATGTAAAATAAAGGTTAACTCTTTAAAATTAAATCTAACTGAAGGAAAAACTACTAACAGCTCCCTCCCCCTTCCATTTTTTCCATGTATTAGAATTCTTTGTCTCAGTCCAGCACCCAGCCCTGCTTGACTCACCTTTGGGCAACAGTGACTATTCTTAATTATTTGTTGTTGGAGTCATGTCAGATGATTAGTATTCTCATTGATAGTGAATTTCTGTGTTGAAGTACACAAAGCAAAAAGGACTTTCTTCATATTCTCTCTCCTCCCTTCTCATTCTTGCCCCCTTCTCTCCCTTGATGCACCAACCATATGCACAGTTGAGAATCTGTGATATTGGTAGAAGATAAGTTTTTCTGCGTTTTTCTTTTCCTGAGGCATTTCATTTCAATAGTATTAAATACAGTATTTTATTCTGTTTAATTAAGTTCAGTTTTGGAATTTTAGGATTCTAAAATTGGTTTTGATGATATTTTGTAAACAATTTCAAAGAAGAGTTTACTTTGTATTGAGTTCATTTATTTATGTGTGTAACAGTTAATGGGACAAGCCTGAGTATTTTATTACACTATGTATGTTACATGCAATTTTTTCACGTTTATTCTTTCTTTGAACTAGACCTCAGTGGCAAAAGTCTGTAAAGAAAATTAAATATGTTCTTGAGTTTGCCAAACATTCACAGTCTCTTATAGATCGAGTCTCAATTTGCAAACTATAAAGTGACTTTTTGTCACTATTTTTACTTTCTTTTCTGAAATTAAACCCACTAAAGAATGTCTTTTCCCCCTGTATTAGGGAGTACTTGAAGGTTGATGCATCCTTCTCTGAAATTATTTAGCTTTTGTTTATAATTGAAGAGATAACCTTAGTCATAATGAATCAGTAGGACATCAAATTTGATGTGAGTATATTTCTTAAAAATGTAGTTACATTGTTCAAATCTTTACAGATCTCTCCTGTCTTTGGCATCTCAGTTTACTTTAAACTTCAGAGTATTGGCAGGAGGAAGACATGATGACCTTAAATCTGTTGGTCAAGCTTAGTGAACATTCTTGCAGTCCCTATACTTACAAGGCTGAGGTAGAAAGACTGGGAATTCAAGGGCCTTATTTCAAAAGCAATGCAGAAACCAAAAACTTCATGCCGATCAGCTGCTAGTTTGGGAAACTATAACTTTAAAAGCTATTAAAAATTAGCACAGATTGTACTAGTTTTGGTGTGTTTATAATTGTTAGTGTTGTTAAATGTTACAAACAAAAGAAGACACAGTAAACAAAACACCATTAATTTATACCAATATGATGAATTAAAACTTATCCTGTTATCTGAGTAGATACTTGTGGCTTGGCATAAAGTTCTAGAATGCCATTGCATACTGATTTCAATAATGTTAAAAGTAGGTATAGTGAAAACAGACACTGATGTTTTAAGTTGTAAGTCAAGATTTTGAAACTTAAAAATAATAATAAACTATGTTTGTGAAAATTGTATTTGGAGCTGTCGTATTTGAAGAGTAAGTTATTTTAGTTCCATAAAAATAAGCAGAATTATTTACTACTTTTATACTACACTATATGATGTATAGTCAGGTTTATAACTTGATCATGAGTCCCTTGCCCTTAGTTCATCTGTTTCAGGATCATAGAAAGTACTCATTTTGTTTTCCACATAGCAGTAAAGTAAAGCTGGATATTTTCCAAAATACTATTCTTGATAAAAGTAATGTTTTTGTTTAGGTGACAAACAGCATGTTTGGTGCTTCAAGAAAGAAGTTTGTAGAGGGGGTCGACAGTGACTACCATGACGAAAACATGTACTACAGCCAGTCTTCTATGTTCCCACATCGGTCAGAAAAAGATGTAAGTTAATCAGTTACATTGTGTTTCCTCAGCAACCTCTGCCTGTTTCTAGGTCTGTGAAGAGCAGCATATGAACTCCAGGGTCTGGTTGAGTCACTATGTTAGGCAAAGCTGTAGGCCCTGGGGATACAAAGATAAAAAGCTCACTTTCTAATGGGAAATGTTAGTCTCCTGTGATTCTTATTTGAGATATGGTTATATTGTTGTAGGAAGTATTCAAAGACATGGAGTAACATTGTGACTTTTAGATCCCTTGTGGTTTTTGTGTAACATGGGAGGGTTTTTTGTTTTTTTTTTTTAAATAGTAAAGCAAGTGCACTTACAGAGAACAAATTTGTACAGATTAAAAGAAACTGTGGGAGGTCTCAATAAAATTTTGTCCTTACTATGGAATCTTCTGAGTATAATTCTAGACCTCACACTGTCTTTCTTGCCTTAGCTGTAGGCTACTACAGTTGAAAATTTTTGAAGTCTATAGTTGATTATATATTACAGAGATGTGAATTCTGTGCTTTGGAAGACTAGTAGATCAATAATGCTATTAGACATGGAAGAATTTAGAACACAGCCAAGTCACACTTAACAAATTTATAAACTATTTTAAAATAAATTTATTTGTTCACATCATGCTAAGCTATGGCACCATTTAGTCAAACCAGTTATATTCTAACACTGTACTGCCCAGCTTCTCTTTTTTCTCCTTTAAAATGTTCCCTTGGGCCTAGAGAGATAGCTCAGTGGTTAAGAGTACTGACTGCTCTTGCAGAGGACCTGACTTCAATTCCCAGCACCCACATGGCAGTTAACAACTGTCCGCACCTCTAGTTCTAGGGGACTCTGTCCTCTGCAGGCATTATACAACACAGGTGCACTTATATACATGCACTGATACACATTAAATAAAAGGTAATAAATAAAATATTTTTAATATACTGTTCCCTAATCCTCCACCTAGTACTTTTAGTTCAGTTTTTAGTGTTTAAAATACGTAACAAATGTCCTCATTTTTATTTAAAGCTGATTATTACTAATCACTTCCTACTTTTAGAAAGTTACAAATTGGCTTGACTTGAGTTAACATTAAGTTTTTAGTTTTGGCATCGTCCCCCACCCTTGATACCTCCTTCCCATTATTTTTATTTGAAAACTGTCATTTTTTTTAAACAAATTACCAGTTACCTTATTATATTGTCTCCCCTTGTATGTGCATTGGTTTTGTTTATAATTAGGGTATACTTTAATAGCTTAGAGAATAATGTTACCTGGTTTTCTGTTATGTTTCTTGACCTTCAAGCTATTTGCTATTTGATGTGAATTATATTGAATTATTATTTATACATGTATCTATGTTTTAAGTGTTGACTTTTTAAAAAATTTTATGTGCATGAGTGTAATGCCTGCATGTGTAAGTGCACCCATGTCATGGAGGTCAGAAGAGGGTGTTGGATCCCCTGAAACTGGAGTTATGGATGGATGTTAGCCACCATATGGGTGCTGGAAATTAAACCTGGGTCCTCTGTAAGAGCAACCAGTGTCCTTAACTGCTGAGCCATCTAAGTATTGACTTTTCCAGATTTAAAAAAATTAAGGATGTAGTTCACTGGTAGAGCACTTGCCTAGCATGCGTAAGGCCCCGGGTTCAATCCCTAATTTCACAAAACAGATTGAAGGTAGCATTTACAGTATCATTGTAAAAAGTATAAATCTATAACTTTTGCAATATGACTGTAGCTGTTTAATGAAAATTAAGTTTTATTTAAAAATAATAATGAGGGGCTGGAGAGATGGCTCAGCAGTTAAGAACACTGGCTGTTCTTACAGAAGACCCAGGTTCGAATCCCAGCATCCACATGGCAGCTAATAACGGTCCTGTCCCTAACTCCAGTTCCAGGGTATCCAACAGCCTCTTCTGTCCTCCGTGGACATTGCACGATGGGTACATTTACCTACATGCAGGCAATACACACATGCACATAAAATAAAAAAATAAATAAAATAAAATATAACATAAAATAAAATTTGAAAAATGATAATGAGACTGGGCATGGTGACACAAGCCTTTGATCCCAGCCCTCAGGAGGCAGAGGCAGGCAGATCTCTGCCAGGTCAACCTGGTTCACATAGTGACTTTAGGCAGGCTAGGACTAGGGTCACCCTTTTAAAAAATGATACTGAAGTAATGCTAATGAAAAGCATTTAATGCTTTCAGGCTGAAATCTGAAATAGAACATGTATAGAAAATGAATAACAAATATCTGTCTTCCAGATATACATGTCTGAATTTTAAAATTAGAATTAGTATATACACTCATTCCTAGATGCATATATTAATTACTGTTCCAATATAGATGATTATCACAGAAGTGACAGAATACTTTGCTTTATGAAACATTTTATTTTGAATTAAGGTAATATATAATATACAGAGAACATGGACTTCTAAAACAGTGCAGATGTGTTTGGGTCCTGGCTTTGTTAGTAAGAACATTTTTAAAAACAAAGATAGGGAAAACAGAAAAAGTCAGTCTTACTAATTCACTTCTAGAATTTTAATTTTATACTTCAAATATTTCCATAAAAATTCTTGCAATTATTTAAATTTCTGGAACATTGACATTTTCCATCAAAATGTCTGTACCCACTTTTGTTCTCATCAGCGTTCCCCTTGCCCATTAGAACACTAACTCATAAGTCTTGGCTAATAGACAAAAGTTTACTTTAATGTATACATTAGTTACTTTTCTCATTGCTGAGACAATACCTGATGAAAAGTAATTTAAGGAAGGAAATCTTTTATATTGGGTTACAGTTCAAGGCTGTACATTCCATCATAGTGGGGAAGGTAAGGCAACAGGAGCCGCGTGTGGATAGGTATTGACAGCTGGTCACTGTGCAGTCACAGTCCAGAAGCAGAGTGAACAGGAAGTGAGGCCTCAAGGCCTGTCCTAGTGATTCATTTCCTCCAGCACAGCTCCACCTCCAAAAGATTCCACAGCCTTTGAAAACAGTGTCATCAGTTGGGGACCAAGTGTTCAAACTCATACACCTATGGAGGACATTTTACAGTAGGAATAAAACAATGTACATATATTAAAACATTTCTAAATTTACACACATACAAGGCTGAGCACATGCCTTTAATCCCAGCACTTGAGGCCTCAAGGCCTGTCCTAGTGATTCATTTCCTCCAGCACAGCTCCACCTCCAAAAGATTCCACAGCCTTTGAAAACAGTGTCATCAGTTGGGGACCAAGTGTTCAAACTCATACACCTATGGAGGACATTTTACAGTAGGAATAAAACAATGTACATATATTAAAACATTTCTAAATTTACACACATACAAGGCTGAGCACATGCCTTTAATCCCAGCACTTGGGAGACAAAGGCAGGTGGGTCTCTGTGAGTTCCACCCAGGGCTACATAAAGTCTTAGAAAACAATAACATCAAAAATTACAGACATTAGCACACAGTGATATCTTTTTCATATGGTTTTTGACCATTTATATTTCTTGGTATGGCATCTGTTTGTGCTATTTCATATTACTCTGTTGCTGTAGATTTGACTTCATTTATTATAAATAGTTTCTCAAAATTTCATTTTTATTTTACAGTACTTATATATTTTTGTATCATTTTTACTGAAAATGAAATAAGAATATTTATCAGAATAACCCTGAATAATTTTCTCATTTTCTCTTTAAAATAACCCACACAGAAAACATAACCCACACACATTTTCATGGAGTACCATCTAATGTTTCGATATATGTGAGCACTGTGACATGTTTAAATCGGGTCAAATGTATCTCTGCAGCCATATACCATTACTTTGTGCCCTTTTCTTGTTTTGTCTTGAGGACTGAACAGAGAGGGACTGCATATGCTAGACAAAGTGTTCTACCACTTGTCCAAAGGATTTTTTTTTTTTTAAATGGTTTCTGGGTTTAGATCATACTTCTAACTTTCCTAGGACTTTGCTATCAAATTTCATTACTCATCATTTATGCCCATTAGAAATATATTTTGCTAAGGCATAAACTGCAGGGTGGCATATTCTTCTTTTTTCTCTTGTGATGTTATTCAGTTGTCTCTATGCCATTTATTCTGTAGATACCTGGCTTTTTACATGGTGCTAGTGAGCATGGTGGCACAGCAAGCACCTTGGCAGCTGATCTCCCTTTCTCCAGCCCTAAGGAGAGTTCTATAGTTGCCATGTTCATGCTTTTTTTCCTATTGCTTTATAACCTATAAGTGCATTGTATATTTATTCTGTAACCAACGGCTTTACAAACTTTTTTTTATTACCTTTTGGTGGCTTGGAATGTGGGCTGTAGAAACTCTAATATACGAGTTTCACTTACAGCTACATGATTTAACTGTCATATGTTCTAGGGCAAATTACATGGTCAGTATGTAACTCAGTTTTCTCATCTGTTACATAAAAACAGTATTAATGTGGCTAACTCATGAGTAGCAGTAAGGATTGAATGAATAACTGTAAAAATCTAAGGTGAACAAATGGTACATGTTCAGCAAGTGTTCTTAATATTATTCCATTTGAGTCTCTTTCAGGTAATTATATCCACCGTAAATATTATTTTTGTCTTTTCTAAAAACTACAGGGAAAAAATTAACAATAAATTATTAAACATAAAAATGATTTTTTTCCTCTCTGGGAAGAGTGAAAACTTAATTTTCAGTTATAATTTGTGATACAGAAAAATTGGCCAGTAGTTGTAAATCTTTAAATCAGTCTGGCTGGATCTTAATAAAAGATTGTGTGGGATTGTTTGAAAGGAAATCATAGAATTTTGAATTAGACCTCTTTAAGTGGAATTCATTTTATCTCTTTATGGTATCTAAAGAAACAGTAAAACTATTATTTTAAATATCAGTATCCTAATACCACTTTAGAAAGGCTAAAGTAGTTTTAAAAATCCAGATTTTCTAATTTACCCCGTTATATAGTATAACTTCTCAATCTGTATAGGCTTAG